AGAGAGAGAGAGAGAGAGAGAGAGAGAGAGAGAGAGAGAGAGAGAGAGAGAGAGAGAGAGAGAGAGAGTCCCAGTTAAGTTGATCAGGTCTAATATACATTTTGGGAACTTGTTGCAGGATTTTGTTCATCTGTTCAGTCTGACAGTTAGTCTCAGGATGATGGCCAGATGATATCAACAACCTAGAGCCATAGACTCTCATCAACTCCTGCCTGTTCTGACTAGTGAACCGGGTATCTCTATCACTAACTATAGACAACGATAACCCATGATCATTGACCCAATGGTCGAAAAACTTTTATATTCGTAAATCTGTACGTGCCTCTGAAGGCAAGGGAACAAAAACTGCATACTTGCTGAATCTATCCACTATAACCATGACTTGGCCCTTTCCATGCCTACTCTTGATCGCTGCATCCATAAAGTCGATGGACACAGAATCTCCGGGCCCATTGGGAATAGGCAAGGGTCTGAGAAGACCAAGAGGGGCTCGCGCAGTGGACTTATGTCGGTGGCACACCTTACAACTGCGTACATACTCTATGCAGTCAGCCTTCATACAAGGCCACGTATACGCACGCATAAGGTTGGCTAATGTCTTCTGCCAACCAAAGTGTCCCTCTGTGTCGTGACATACCCCTAGGATCAAACTACGAATTTCCTCGCTGTTGGGGATGCATGGACGATCAGCTACGTTAGTCTTCTCGAATAGTAACCCATCGGTAGTGCGGTAATCTGGTTCTGCGGGAGAGCAAGGGACGTCTATGTCGGCAGCCTGTGGCAAAAGGAGATCAGCGAAGATCTGTGCTTTCTCTCCACCATGATGTAGCTCGAATGGTGTGATGCAGATCGCCGGATGCACCGAAGTGTTATAGGCGAACTCGATGTCGGAAAGCCGGTCAACCCAATCTTTCTGTTCGGGACGGATGAGCGTACGCAACATCATCTGAGCGGTCTGGTGCGCTCGCTCCGTCTGACCATCCGTCTGCGGGTGCCGAGCCGAGCTCAGCTTCATTGTCGCACCGGACTCAGCCATGAGGGAAGTCCAAAAGGCCGACATGAAACGAGTATCTCGGTCGCTCACTATGTCTTCCGGAACACCCTGGTTGGTAATCCAACCGGTGTGCAAGAGTCGTGCGAGCTCGGGCGCTGCAGCATGATACTTGCAAGGAAGGAAGCGAGCATACTTGCTCAAACAGTCAACAACCGTGAGAATACCGTCATGGCCATGGCGATCGCGGGGAAACGGGCCAGTCACATCCATAGCAATGGAGAGGCGTGGTGCCCGAGGAATCGGCAATGGTTTCAGTTCGCCGAAGGGGACTCGAGATTGACCCTTGTTACGGTGGCAAACTGCACATGACTCAATGTACCTCGTGACGTCATGAAGGACGTCGGGCCAGTGAAAACGCTGGCGGAGGCGTGCTAATGTGCGGTTCGCGCCAAGGTGTGCCGAAAGTCGTGCGTCGTGGAATTCACCGAGAAGACGAGCCTGTAAGATGTGATCTTGGGGCACAACTAACAAGTCCTTTCCTCTCGTGTGAAGGAGAAGGAACCCGTCGGAAATTCGATAGTGGCTAGCCGGCGGGTGATCCGATGAAAGCTCCGCGTAAAGCGTAGAGTAAGACGGATCGGACTTGCAGCCTTTGACGAAATGCGGCTGCAGATCGTCCTCGAGGTCGAATGCCATGGTCACAATGGCATAAAAATCGGGCCGTCGTGAGAGGGCGTCGGCAGCTCGATTGGCGGGACCGGGAATGTGGTGCGGGTCAAAGTCGAACTGGTCGATGTAATACATCCATCGACCGATCGTGCTAGTGACCGTATCCTGCGTTTTGTAAAAGGTCAGCAGATTGTTGTCCGTGTTCCATTTAAAACGTCGACGGCCGAGAAGAAAGTGGCGCCACCGTTTAAGAACGGTGACGAACGCGAGTAGCTCTTTCTTCCTAGCGTCGTCGAGAGTGTTGACAAGAGGCACCTTTTGGGAGAAATACTCGACCGGATGCCAACCGTCCTCGTGACACTGTTCCAACACCGCACCAATACCGTATCCCGAAGCGTCTGTAGTCACTTGGGTGGGTAGGGTGGGGTCGTATATACGGAGGGCAGGTGCGGCTTGCATCGCTGCCTTCAACGTAGTGAACGCGCCACGGGCTGCGTCGTTGAACTCGAAGGGCACCTTCGGGGACTGAAGTCTCGACAAAGGAGCGGCCACTTTCGAGTATGACTCGACGAATCGCTGATAATATCCAGCTAAACCCATGAAAGAACGCACATCCGTCGTGCAACGGGGTTCCGGCCAATCCACGATGGCTTGGATCTTGTCCGCTAAGGGACGAATGCCTTTCGGCGTAACATAGTGGCCCAAATACTCAAGCTCCTGCTTGGCGAACTCGCACTTGTCGCGGTTTGCTTTGTACTTGGCCAGTCGCAAACGATTCAAAACAGCGCGAAGGTGTGTGATGTGCTCGTCCAACGTCCTGCTATAAACCAAGATGTCATCGAGGTAGATGAGGACGCTGCGATCGAGCAAGTCGCGAAACTCAGTCGTCATAGCTGCTTGAAAAGTCACGGGGGCATTGGTGAGGCCAAAAGGCATGACAACCCACTCAAAATGCCCATACCGTGTCTTGAACGCGGTCTTGTACCGATCTTGAGGCTGGATTTCAATCTGGTGGTAGCCTGACTTCAAGTCCAACTTCGAGAAGTACGTCGCGCCGCCTAACCGCTCAAGAAGATCATCAATCCGAGGGAGAGGGCCGGCGTTCTTTACAGTTTGTGCGTTAAGTTTGTGATAATCGATGCATAACCGTAGATCTTTGTTCTTCTTTCGGACGAAGAGAACAGGGGCACCGTATGGCGAGCAACTAGGGCGAATCCAACCCTTGTCGAGAAGGTCGTCGAGTTGTGCACGAAGCACCTCGAGTTCCTCTTCGCTCATGCGGTAGATACATCCACTCGGAGGGACGACACCAGCCTCGAGAGTGATCCCGTGACGTATGGGCCGATCCGGAACTGTTTCGGTGGGAGCCTCGAAGACGTCTTCATACTCGTCCAAGAGGTGAGTGATGCGTGGGTCCGGCGGTGACGCGGCTGGTCCGTCCGGCGAGGGGAGAGCATGCAAGAATACAAGGCCCATCTCCTCGACGTCATTCCGAGCTATAGCGTCGCGAATTCTCGCAACGGAAACCACGTGACAAGCAATCGAAGTGTGAGGGGTCGCRACCGTACATGGGACTAACACTCCATTCCGATCAGGGATGTGAACGGTTCGGTCATGAAAGTTCACCGGGTGATCGGCGCTACGCAATTAAGACATGCCTAGAATCATGTCGAACTTGGTGTYGAGGATGTCAAAAGACACCGGCTTGCACGCAAGTGGTGCAAAGTATATCGGAACGCCGTCGATGCATCTGTCAATCGACTTTTGCGTGCGGCCGTCCGCGAGTGTAACTTGCGTGGGTTGCGTCTTCCTTCGAACGCGCGGGCCAAGGCCTGCGCGGGCCATAAAGGCTTGGCTCATAAAGTTGCGAGACGCTCCGCAATCAATCAAGGCACTACAGGTTGCCTTTCCGATTTGAATGCGGATATAGAGCAAAGGTGCGTCGGTTTCGGCGTACCTTTGGGTGACGTACTCGCGGTCAATCTTCGCAAGATAGCAGCGGAGATCGACAACCGCTACTTCGTCGTCCGTCAACGGAGCTGGTACTGTAGCGTGCAAATAGGAGAGTAGATTTGCCATCAAGGCATTGCAATGCGGCCTTGGCAAGGTTCCGGTTGAGGGTAGAGGCATCCAAGCGAAGTCCTCTCTCGTGAGCGGGTCAAGCTCCTCAAGTCTTGACCACGCCGTTGAGTCCTCGAAAATCAGTGGCAAACTGACCGGATCACTTGCCGACGGTGTACAGGCTGCGCATACGCAATCTAAGTGCACGTGGCTTGGCTGGTCTAGTGGTGGTATCAGCTGGGCGGCATAATCCTTGTACGTAGCACGAGAATCAGCGACTAATGCATGCTCCCCGGTAGTGACATCGATTGCTAGCAAGGCAACCGGGTCCGGCGGAGTGAGGAGAGACGTCACCCCTCTCCTTGCATAACTCAGTTTCCCGAGTTCGTTGGACGGGGTACGCGTGCCTTGCCCTTTTCGGGGCAYTGTGCAGTCAAATGAGTGACTCCATTGCACCAAAGGCAATATCCGTACCGTTGACGAAGGTCATAGATTTCCTTGGTTATCTTGTATGTCGTCCATGGCTGCTGCCCAGTTCCCATCGATGCCGTCTCCTGTGTCGCCTTGTTCTTCCGAACTCTCTTGGGACGCTTCGGCGGGAGCGCTGCTCCAATTCCTCCATCACTCGATGATGCTGCTGCAGCGTGGAGATCGACTGTTTCTTCTAAAATCACGACATTGTTATGTGTCGGTCGTTGATAGCCCTGCTTAGGCACATAATGCGGTTGGGACTGCCATTCGTTTGCGGCCTTGTCATCCGTTTGGATGACCAAGTTCGCACGATCCAGGATGGCGTGGAATGAGGCGTAATCGTACTTGTTGCCAAGTGCGGTTCGCAGTCCTGCGCACGATCGCGAGAAGAACTCGGATCGTTGGTTTGTAAAGCTCAAATCGAAGCCTGGCATGGTCACCATCTTTTGCCACTTAATTGTCCAGTCTCGAGTTGGCATGCTTCCTTGTGAGCATGTGTAGACCTCGTTCATGGCCGCCTTCACCACGTTGCGGACCATGAATCGAGTGAACCACAATTGTTCAAACTCCTCCCACGTGAGGTGTTTGTGTAGCTCAGCGATCGTGGTCTTCTTGTTGACTGCGAGGTGGTTCATCCATGCTTGTGCCCCTCCAATGAGTTGGAGGTATATGGCCTTCATCATGTCTTCGGCTGGGACCTTGTGGCATGATGCTTCCGTGAGGAAGGCTTGCCACCATGTCAAAGTGTCGGTCTTGTTGTAGTCCTCAAACTTGCCGATGTCAAACCGTGGCATCTTCTATACCTTCGCAGCTGCTGCCGGTTGCGACTGCAGCTTGGTGATGTCTGTCTTGATGGCGGCCACCGTGCTGCAGATCGTAGCCGGACCGGTGAAATCACTGAGTTCGCCGATTAAACTGACGACATGGTCGATGCGCTCGTTGAGCTGTTTCGCCGTGTCCGTCGTGCAGCCTGGCGCTGCTGAGGCCTTAGCCTCGATGCTGTTGACGCGTGCGGTGGTGGTGCTCAACAGCTGTTGCTGTTGTTGCTGATGTGTGGCRGCCGCGCRAACAGCARCTGTTAAGGCTGCAGAATCATTCTGCTGGATCTGTCGCAGCTGTCTGCCCTCGTGTATTTGCACCATTAACATCGTATTRTTCCACATGACCGCTCGCATCATGTTCAACATMAGGTTAGCCAGGTYGCTCCTTTCTTCCTCCGCCGGTGTCGGATCCGCCTGTGTATCCGAAGGCACAAACAGCATGCCTTGGAGCAGTGTCGTCCACTGGCTCTCATTCACAGTCACGGATTCCATGCTAATGGCGTTCCGCTTTTCTCGTACCACGGCGTCAGCCTCAGCAGTCCGCTGAGCTTGGGCTGCCGCCTCATTGGCCAGCCGCTGACATTCCGCCTCTGCTGCCTCCTGTGCTTTTGCGGTATCTACGGCATCCGTGAATGCCTGTACTCGCTGAAAGTAAGCCGTCAATGGCTCACTGGCCCCTTGGACCGGGCATGCGGGAAGAACCCCGGTGGTAACCGGTACTGTCATTGCTGTACTCGATGCTGCTGGAGTCTTCCGCTTGCTGAGTCGCTGAGCCTTGGTTTGGGGAGGTACCACAGAGCGGGCACGAACTGAAAGCCTGGCGCTGCGTCGTGGCAGTGCCCCGGTGTCCTGTTCCGTCGACATCAGTGTGAACTGATGTGGTACTTGAGAGGTCCCGGTGGTCACAGATTACGGGGAGGGTAGGGAGAGTGGGAACAGGGGTAGAACAATCAAACAATTCGCATACAGTCCCCTGTCCCACTGATGGACTTAAGACACCTAATCAACAGAAAAGAAAAAAAAATTCCCGTAAACAATTCAAAAAATTCGTATTAAGAAAATAATACGATTTATTTAATCAATAAAGTTTAATTAATGATTAATACGAAATAATAATTCTTAATGATAATCACATAAAATGATAAAAAAATATTTGCGATAATGAATGATAATCACTAAAACAATATTTGCAATAATGAATGATAATCACTAAAACAATATTTGCAATAATGATAATGAACGAATTTGAATGTCAAGATTAGGTATCCATTGAGATCATCTTTAGTCCGGGAGTTCACCGTTAATTAGTGAACTACCCGGAAGTTGCAATTCTGAGGGTCAGATACGGATTAGTTTGCCCAAAAAAAATCGAAAAAAAAAAATAAAAAAAAATCGGAAGCAAAACACTCGAATTTTCAAACAATGTGAAATTTTGGGAGTTTCCACCGTCAAAATCCGATTTTTTTAAGGCCTAAGTCCGTTTTCGGAATTTCTCAAACAAGGGAGAAAAAAAAAAAATTCGCGAAAATTTCGGAGTCCAACCCTAATTTTCCGCGATTCCGCGGAATTTCCGGTTTTACGATCCCAAAACGTTCGAATTTCCCAAGTTGATTGAAAACCAAAAATTTTCGTAACCCTAATTTCCCACACTGCAATAAAACGGAAATACCGATTTAGAAAACGGAATACAGGATTAAAATCGGAATGCTGGATTATAAAAACGGAAACCGAAATAAAATCAGAATGCCGAATTAAACAGAGTACTGATTTAACCCTAATCACGAATTAATAATCGGAAATCCGAATTAATTAGAATGTCGGATTAGTATCAATTACTCGGAACCCAATAATCAGCATACCGGAATAAAACAGAAATCCGAATTACAAGTCCGGATACCGAATTGAAACGGAAATGCCGAAATAAACAGAATACCGAAAAAAAGAAAAAAATTTTGCAACTTTGAAACTCGATAGTAATACAGAGCTGATTTAGAAGATTGAAGAAGCAATCTAACTCCTAATCAGACTTACCTGGTGAGCAGATCCGTAATATGGTCTGCTCCGATACCAAAACTGTTACATACTTCAATGAGYATGGGCAGAACCAAAGATCAACCAATGTAGGATGAGCATATATGCAGCGGAAGTCTGATAAACGGACTGACTCACATAGACTGACTCACATAGATATCACTCCACACACATACAATCGTGAGATGGTGGGGTCTGAGCCATACATAGACGATGCTCAGCCCCGTACACACATACACAAATGAAGGTGGGAGGAGAGACGAAGGAGGTACAGAGTCCTAATGTAGCCAGTGTCCAATCTGTGATGCAGCCGAGTATCATCCCCAACAATCTCCAAGTCTCAAACCCGGTAAGTACCACAGCTTCTTACTACCGAGGTCCAACACTGATCTCTGTCCAACTAGTATCAAGTATCCAATCTGAAGAAGAAGAAGAAGAAGTCTGAAGAAGAAGAAGAAGAAGAAGTCTGAAGAAGAAGAAGAAGACAGTCGAGGAGGAGAGGGAGAGAGAGGGGACTGACGACGGGAGGGAGGAGAGAACCTCCGGCTCCCGATACCTCAGGCGGCTATGGCCGCCAATCTTGCTCAGTCGCCGCTGCTGCTGCTCCGCTTGCTGCCGCTGCTCCTCGTGTCTTGCGCTAAACTTAGCGCTAGCGCTCTGGCGCTAGACCTTAACGCACCGTGTAGACTGCCGGTGGTTCGATACCTGGAGTGAGGCCGGACCGGTACCTTTGTACCGGTGGGGCAGAGGCCGGCCTCTATGCTGCGAGGCCTGGCCGTGCCCTGAACCGTCCAGATGGACGGTTCAGCCCCAACCGGCGGGCGGCAGCCTCAAGAGCGCCGCCAGGCCCAAACGGTAATGTCGTTTGGGCCTGCCCGTCGGGTCTGGTCCAAGATGAGGCCTTTACGGCCTGTAGTACCCCAAGGTCGGGCCTTTAGGCCCTAATGTGTCCCTCTGGCCCTAAGTCGGGTCCGGTAGGACCCGTGTGGCGTCGAAGATGTAACAATAAATCAAGAGGCAGCGTCCAGCCATTCATTCATTCCTGCGTGAGCCATGCGGAAGCGCTGTCCTAGCGTCTTGTGCGAGGTGGTCTGCAGATTGCCTGAAGTCAAAGTGGGCAGAGGCAGAGTCAGAGCAGCCATAGCTGCCTGTAGTAGAGATAGCCGGCGACCATAGCTGCCATAGCTAGTGATAGGTACTAGTGTATATGTGCGTGAGAGACATAGAGTGAGTGTGCGTGGAGTATCCAGGGAGATCCAGAGTTAAGTGTGAGTGTGTGTGAATAGTTGGTCGGGAACACGAGTTCGGAAGGATGTTGGGCGCTGGGGCGCCATAGCCAGCTAAAAGTGAGTTTGCATCTGAACTGTGTTCTCGACTTGAATATCTCTGAGCTTTGTGTGGGCGCACAGCGCCAGTGTACATCTTCATTTGTTTGCATGCATGCGAGTTGAAGAAGAAAGTGAGTCTGGTTGCATTGGTATTGGAGCAAGTTCCCGCTATTCCATCGCCATTGCCAGCAGGAAGGAGGCGCACGCCAGTGAGGTGCCATAGCAGAAGTGCGCCATCGAGGAAGAAGGAAGCCATAGCCGGGGTGAAATGAGAAAGAAGACGAAACAAAGGAGGGAGGAGAAGAGAAGTAAAGGTTGGTGAGAGAGAAGAGGTCGGCAGCCATAGCCGAGTTGAACGTTGACCAAGGTGTTGACCGAGAAGTCAACCAGAGTTGACCGGAGTGTTGACTGAGGGGTTGACCAAAGTTGACCAGGGAGTTGACTGGCATTGACCAAAGCATTGACCAGCGTTGACCTGGGCTGTTGACCACGAAATTGACCAAGCTGGAGTTGGTATACTCTTGCCCAGCCTTCAGCCTATCCCCTTGCCCTATGAATGTGCACTCGCCCCATGGTACTTGCTGAGTCTGTCTGTCTCTTCTTTCTGCATTAAGTCTCTTCTGTCCAGGTGATAGGAGCTCCGTGTACGAGGTCGTAGAGCTGCGTTGACCAAATCCACACGGGCTGAGTAGGGCTAAAGGCCGTGTCTGACGACTGACTGACCCCGAGGACAAACCCTCCCAAGGACCGGTACGGACCGGCGGGCTGCTCAGTGTGGCATCGTAGGCCCAGAATCCGAGCTGTGGGCTGCACAACCGGCTGTCTAAGTATTGAGAGAGCTCTGCTGATCGTGTCGTCTTGACTGCCACGTTAAAGAATTCCTGAGGAGTTATGGGGGATCTCCTTAAATGCCTCCTGATCAGCAGTAGAGCTCTGTAGTGACAGCCTTACAGTAGGTCAAGGCTAGTGACCCTAGTTGACAGGGTCCTGATCCGGAGAGAAAGCCAAGTGGGATTGACCGCAGGTGCAGGGCATCTGGGTCTGGTTTGTAAAGGACAGTGGTGGCGAAATCTTCCGTCGGCCAGGTAACTTGGCTGGATCGAAGGGTGAGGCTCTATGGTCCTTAGAAAGTCGGTCAGTCAATTAAGTCAATCAGGGGATGGAAGTCTAAGTGGTGAGGAGTGGAACTGGCACTCGGTTGTACACCTGACACCATGGTTGACCTGCGTAGCGGCAAGAGCACCACCCCGTATACCAAAGAGCAAGAAGAGAAAGTCGTCGCCATCCTGAGAGAGAAGAAGGAGAAGATGGAGAAGAGGGAGCTTATTAAGCACGCGAAGATGCTGGCCTTGATGGAGGAGCAAAAGGCCAAGCAGAAGCAAATGGAGGAGTTTCAGAAGTGGAAAAAACAACAGGAGGAGAAATTGGCGGCAATACTGTCAGAGGCAGAAGAAGAAGAAGTAGAGGTACCATTGGAAAGGAGAGGAAGAACAAAAGAGAGAGGGGAATCTAGTGGGGTGCAGGAGGCAGAAGCCAAGATGGAGGCGGAAGCTAAGATGGAGAGAATGGTGAACGAGTGGGTAGCCAACTTGGCCCTGGGGGAGGAAGATGAAGCATTGTTGTTTGTCCCTCAGGCAGAGCAGGAACAATTTGCTAGGGAATTGGAGGGTGAAGAGAATCCCATGAAGCGGCAGGCGATGGAGGAGGAGAAAAAGTTAAGAGTGGAAACTTTGCCTTGCCCGCGAGAGGAAAAGAAGATTGGAGGCGGCCGAGAAAATGGAAGAGGATTTGAGGGCTGCCGAAATAGAACATGGGAAGTTGGCAGTGCAAGTGGATCTTCAAAGGAAGGTGGAGATCATGTCACAAAATGTAGAGTTAATGCTGACGGCGCAGCAAGAACAGTTGCGCTATTTAAAGGCCACGATATTACGCTGCAATCTATGTGCACCGGCTTTAAAGATTTTGCAAAGGATATGATGATGCATGTAGGCACCGAATTGCGCACAATTATTGAGGGTACACGAAAGTTTTGCGTAGGCGCCATTGAAGGCGCCAAGATAGCGGGCCCTAAAGAAGAAGAAGCCCGGCCACGTAGAGAGCGCGTGAAGGTCAAGTTCCCGGATCATTATAGTGGGAAAACTGGAGAGGATTTTGATAATTGGGAGGCCAATGTGAACTCCTATGTGCATCTCCAGGGTATTGCGCCTGAAGACCAGATCCTTGTGGCATTTCATGCCCTTAAAGATGAAGCAGCCAGTCTTGCCATATCGTTAGCCCGCGCTGCCAAATGCGAAAACGATATGGTCGCATACTCCATCCTTACCCCCCTCAGTGAATTCCTCATCGCCCTGCGAGAGCGTTTCGCAGATGTCACCAGGGGCCTCAAGGCTTCCGACAAGTTGCAAATTGTCCACACAAGATAGTGGAAGAGTGTTAGGGCGTTAAAGGCCGCCATGGATGAGCTCGTCGCTGCTCCTGGCCATGGGGTCACTTAGCCCCCATTGGTCCAATTGTTCTACCGTGCTATGCCCGAGAAGTTGCACGAGCATTTCTTTGATAGGAAGCAGCAACCCAACATGACGTACGATATGTTGAGTAAGGAGGTTGTTGCCTTTGAGGCTCATTCCATGTCGTTACCACTTTTTGGGACAAGGAGCTCGCCAAAGGGAAAAAGTGGAAAGGCCACATCATCACCAGTCAGGCCAAGGTTAAAGAGAGCCTTATCCTTACATTAGATGAGGGTGGTCTAAAAGAGGTCCCGTATAGCGAGATTGAGTGGGGCCTCGATGAGGAGGACAACGGCACTGGCCAGGGGAGGACCTATGTTGTTGTCTCGGCTGGAGGGAGGCCGCAAGGGAAAGGAAGGGGCCAAGGCCAAAGGGACCAGGCCTCCGATGGTCGAGGGCAAAGCGGTCAAGGGGTTGGCGGCAGGGGAAACTGCCAAGCAGGAGGAAGGGGTCAAGGTGCCCCGTCAAACCGTCGTCGCTCTAGTCGGTCACCTCCCAGGACGGGTGGATGGCACCCTGGTCAGCCTGAGGGCCGACCTTGGGAATCACAGGGCTTGGAACAAACAGTGTGGCAGAGGCGAATAAACCAGGATCAGTGCATCTATTGTGGTGATCCCGGGCACATCATAAAATACTGCCCCAAATATAGAGAAGCCCGGTTTGCTGCACAGGCAGCAAAAGGCAACCGTCGGTAGGGGTTGCAACTACCCCTACCCCTAGACCATGTGGAGAAGAGTGCGCTCACCACAGAGAAACTCCCAAACCACATGTGTCTATGGTAGAGGTTGCTGGCCAGTGCCTAGACAACTGTCCAAAGACTGCTTGTGTTAGAATCTCTCTAGGCACTTCCCTCACAGGCGTGGCATAAGAGTTGAAGGAAAGAGTGCCTGCCTGGGCCAAAATGAAGAAAGATGCGAAGGGATAGCTAATTTTAGTAGATGTAGAGATTTTCAGAGGTAGAGTAGGGCCCCTTATAGACAGTGGGGCCACCCGCAGCTATATTAGCAAAAAGGTGTTGTAGAAGCTAAAGCTTACTTTGAAAGTCCAAAAGCTAGCAGACCCAATAGTTAGTATCCTCACAGATAATCGCACTATGCGAATCGAGGACTATGTCCAGGGAGTCCAGGCGTACTTTCGCCTAGAGAAGGATGGGAAGGTAGAGAAAGTTCTCCATTCCTTGACTCTCCTCGTAGAAGACAGTCTCCCATTTGACCTAGTTATTGGAATTAATTGGGGAGAGGAGGCAGGGGCCACACTCCATTTAAGAGAGCATGAGTGCTAGTCCATCGGGCGAAGAGAAGACAGCCCGCCTGTTCCATGTGCCAGGAGTAGATAACTCTCTGGCACATTGCTGCCTCAATGCTCCCACGTTTGCGCTGTCGGTGCGAATACCCTTACAAGGGTATCCGCCCTGGTTTTGCAAGCAACGGAAAATAAGTTTGATTTAAGGTTTAAGTATACCGTGGGAGGCACGGTTGTCTGTGGTCTATGTTGACTGGATGGTTGACTAGGGTAGAGAGTGTGTGGGCGCGCAGACTTAAGGCACACGTGATCTCTTCTCTTGTTGATGATGGCGAAACCGGCGTAGTTGCCGGCTCAATTTTTATTTCTGATTAAGCTATGATTAAAAGGATTTTGTCTCTTCATTAGTGCGTTTGCTTGTGAATTGTGCGTATGTACAGAGGGCGGCATCGACAACCGTGTGATTTTGAAGACGTTTCGGTAGATCTGCACATCGCGCAATATTTGTTTATTTAGGTGTTAGTCAGAACTAGACCCAGCCTTGGGCCTAGCGCTACTGGTTACAGTGTCGGACTTTCATTTGAGAGATTCAAGGATCGAGATCGAGCAGCGGCGACGCGGGGGTATCAGAGTAGTGCAAAGGAGACCGAGTGGAAGAGGGCCCGACGGGGCTATCCCCCTTGGCAGTGTCAGAACGGTGCTAGCATTTTATTTTCCCTCGTTCGTCATATTCTGACGATTAAAAGTGTCTAAATATTTTATTATTTATTGTCGTATTATTACTATTTTGCTTCGGCGTCCTTTGACTAAGACTCAATGCTGGATTTAGAGGTCGTAACGGCGGTCGAGGACGTTGAGCGGGTACATCCCTCAGTGGACCTATGGGTTTCCGCGTGTTGGGAATGCCGGCGAAAATTTCTATGTTTCATCTATCCGAAAATTTAGACCGAAGAGGTAAATGCATGAAGAGTAGCGAGGGCCGTGGTCGTGGCTTTTCCCCACTTCCCACTTAGAGAGTGTCGATAGTCTAAAGTGGAAGGGAATTGGAGAACATTTCGAGTGGGCCCGTGGGACTGCAGCCCGACAACAGCAAGGGTCACTGCAGGTGTGCCGTCCGTCGGCCACGATCTGCTGAGAGGGGTTTTGAGTGTGAGCATTCCCGCTGGGCCCCGCAAGATGGTGAACTCGCCTGCGACAGCGAGGGCGCAAGGCAGGGGTCCGCAGCGGTGCTGGCTGCAGCGGCCGTTCCCACATAACCTCCCCCTCTTCCACCCTTAGAGTTCCCATTGGCGTATCTGCTGCTACCGCCAAGATCGGCATCAGGGCCGCTCCACCTGCGGCTATGGGACGAGCTGGTAGCAGGCCTACGCCCCAGCTATGTGGCTGCTGTGATTGGGAACCCAAAAGGACAGGTGTTTCGATCCTACCCAAGTCGAGCGGTTGGTGGCGCTGAGACAGGCTCGTTGCGCTGAGGCTGCATGCATCGTTTATTGGGTTCTGGTTCGGAGAGCGAAAGATTAAGCGAGTTGTTAAGTAGCTGGTTCCTTCCGAGAATTCCCTCACTAGCCGCGGGGTCGGGTGCTGAGCAAAAGCGCTGACAGTACAATCCATGGCAACTATCAAAACTGCAGAGGGGAGTAGCAGTTCTCCGTCGGAGACTGCTTATGATAGTCGGTTCGGCGGCTGCATACTTGTTGCGGAGGAGGATGCGCTAACTGCAGGCATGGAGGAGGAGACGGCTCGACTGGGCGAAGATGAGTTGGGCGAGCCACTGCGTTAAGCACTGTCGGGCTGGGAAGCAGGGGCGAGGCAGTGGAGCCGGGGGGGGGCTAAGGCAGTGAAGGGGGCGGATGAACCTGGACGACGAAGGGCGCCAGGTGCATTCGAAGCAGATGGCAGGGTAACAGGGGCAGGTGAGAAAGGAGGAGAGAAAGGTAGTAGAAGGTAAGGTACGCGGAGAGGCTAAAAAACAAGGCAGTCGAGCGAATGAACCTAGGTGCAAACCCGCGCCAGGCGCAGTCGGAGACTAGGGCGAAGAACAGCGATGGGGAAGAGAGGCTATGACGAGGATGGAGCAAGTGATGTTTAGCCCGATACTCGGTGAAGGTAGGCTGTTGAAGATGTTAAACATAGGTTTTCAGGTAGGACGAATTTAGCTCTAAATTAGTGAAGCAAGTGTTAGTAGAAAACGAGACTGCGCGAAGAAAGGGTGGGAGATGGCTATGGAAGGAAGGGAAGAAATGATATCCCGCTCGATTCTTGATAGAATCGGGCGAGGAAAGATGCAAATCCGAGTTTTAGGGGTAGGGCGAGTTAGGTATTGGTGTTAGATTCTACAAGGGGTTAGCGGGTTAGTCGGTATATGAGAGCGTTGTCGGGCGGCCACTTGCAGTCGACCGCCCGAAAACCGAGGAGTTCGGTCTTTAACCGAGCGCTTGCGCCGGGTTCTTTGAGTACTCTTGTTGGAACTGCGGGGAAAAATTTGGGGTCCTCAGAGGGACTATGAAATCCCTTGCGTTGGCCACAAGAACTAAACCTAAAGATTAATTAGATGAACCGCTGCCTTTACTGTGCTTGGCGCTTGCCCTTTTCGTCTGTTCTGAGGCTATTTTCGGAGCGGCCAGCTGAGGGACGAGAGAATGGTAGTAGGCCTTCGCGCGACGCTTCTACACTGACCAATTTGGCGGGGAAATGAACCCTCAATTTTCATTAAATCTAATTACAAAATTAAAAATGAGTAAAAGAATTAAAAATGAGTAAAAGAATTAAAAATGATAAAAGGAAAGGAAACAAATGATTATTTATTATTTAATCAATTTTCATGAGATTTTATCCTCGATAAATTTTAGCCGAAATTTATTTATCTACCCTCATGTCGTCGATTCATACGGGTTTCCGATATTAATAACCCCTCGCAGGATATCGCCCGATTTCTCTTATGATTACCCTCGCTATATCCTGGATGTTATTAAGTGAGCGGGAGCAGTTTATGGTTACGGCGACATGGCTGATACGATGGGATCACCGGCTCGATTTTGGAGCGAATTGATGCTATGCAACACTACAATTTTGGTGTGCTCACTAGTTCGGGACAGGTACAGGACGGTCATTTACTCCGCATTGATACGACACATTTGCTACGCAGTACGGTATTCGACATTGACCTGGTATGATAACGGTACGGGCTGCTGCAGTCCGAAGCAGCTATGTCTGGTTCAGGATTTTGAGCCTTGGTACGGACATCGGTTGGCCACTTACATGGCCCTGGGACGGTCTACCACGGTTCGATCTTGTTGCTATGGTTCTGCTATTCGTCTGGAAATGGTGCGGCCCACTCGCTGCACGGTATGGTATTCAGCATTGGACCGGTACGGTTGCTGGTTCGACCTGGACGCGATACGAGGGAAATGTACTGCAGGCCGTTCCTAATTTTCAGGTTCGGTAACTGGTATGGTATTTGACATGGGACACTTCTGCTAGACCCGACTTATCTTCCTTTCCTCATTGGCTCCACATGGGACTGTTCACTGCTGCTCGACATTGATGAGGCTTGA